CATCGTATTGATCGAGTGCATCGTAGTTTCGTGGTTTTATGGTAGGATATGTCTAATCATCAAGATGTTCTCTATAATTTCATGAAAAGGTGTCAATCGCTTTGCTCTTGATATCAAAGAAATGATTGGCGCTCGACCGTCGTTATTTTGGCGAGTGATATGGTATCTAGTTAGTCCAATATTTCTATTGGTAAGTATCGAGTTTTTTCTTTCATCTTATTCTTACGTTGACCATAGATGATGTTCTCTATTTACATGAACGATTTTCTCTTCGGCAATATTCAAATTACAAGAAGTAATTTTCGAGACCTACCGACTTCGGTGCAAGTGTGGTCGTATCTAATGGTATTTGTGCCCATTCTCTGCATTCCGATCTATGCTATTTACAAATTATTTTCTATATCGGGCAGAGATTTTCATGAGGTAAAAAAGATGGATACTATCGAGACCAGCAAACATTGTTTTCGTTTTTTAGCGTCTACAACACGTCATCAAAGCGGAACAACTCTTACTCGAGCACATCCATCCTCGATCTGTCGGTGAACAGTGATGACAGGAGCAGTCGTGTCAGAATAAATTATATGAACTAATTTCTCTATTTATGTCGTGTATGTATTTGCTATCTCAATGTATTGCTTTTGATGTTTTTTTGTAACGTAAATAAGCGATTAATTTTTCTAGTTAATAAATCAATTCTCATCTATCATGACAGCCTGGTCGGCATTTCTGTACATGTCCACTCTTGTAGCAACTCATCTGCGAACATAAATCGGAACTTAAAAACTATTTAACTGAATTTCAATGATTTTTATAACTTAAATTAATTTAAAGAGAAGAATATGAAATTTGAAATTTTCTTCTTTAAATTCTTGAAAACTTACTCAAATCAATTTTAAGATAGCTTATATATTCAGTCTTACTTTTAACTAAATGCAATATCTTCAGTTTTGCTAAAAACTATTGTGAAAATATTTCAAATCAGTACTCTATCAAATCACTATGATGAATGATGATAAAAGTTTTTTCAAGAATAACATTGGCTTTTAGAGATCACTTAGAAAAGTAGATTTTTAGAGAAAAACTCGATTTCGAAAGGGTGTGAGTGCAGGTAGATTGAATAGAGACCTCGCCCTAACCCACATCTACACTCTTTTTTTTTTAAACGACTGAATATAAAAGTGATTTCTTTTTGTTACACAGCACACAGTTACGGTTGAGTGGTAATAAAGCTTGATTTTGGAATTTTGCTTTAGCGGAAACAAAAAACCTAGATTCTTGGTTTAAATTAGCGATTTATTGTTCACGACTTTGAGGATTTTTCAAAAATCTTTTTTTTGAAAACAAATACAGGAAAATTCGGAAATCGATCTTTATCATGTCTTAGCTCTGAGGATATTCTATAGTATCAAAATCACCTCGGCATGCTAGTTTGTATCCTCAGTGTGAAAACCTTCTGCGAGTATAGCGTGCTTTTGACCAATGCATTGACTATAACTCGTGAATGTCTTGGAGATTTGGAGATATATTGTATCCATAATTTATTTTAGCCAAGACTGACATTTTCTGAAATCATGGTTGAAATCCGATGAAAAATAAAAGGTTTATTTGTAAGAGGAGGCTTAATTTCAAATCAGGAAAAAATGAGATCAAACCATTGAAACTAACTCCAATTATTATCATAGTCATTCTATACTTCATATTAAAATAAATTTAATAAATTCCTTTTGCAAAAAAGAAAGCCATTATTGAATGATATTTCTTCAAAGAATTTTCAAACCATGGATTATAGTAGTTTTACAGTCAGGAGAAAAAACAATCATATTATAATGAATCTTTGTTGTTCAAACTATTTAGATGTTTAAAATTTAAACAACAAATTATAGCAATATTTTACTTCTTAAACATTTTTTAACAAAGGCACATTTCAATAATGAAATAGTAAAACATAACAACATTTTCATTTAGAATCAGACAGAAAATATTCCATAACAATATTGAACAAATAATAATACTCGAAAATTTACTAATAAATAACCATAAATAAAGAGAACATCTCTATCAATTAATTCTGATTAATTTATCTTTGATTAGTGTTTAATCAATAGTCACCTTCAATATCCTGATCATCCAATCTTTTTATTTTCTTCAATCGAATCACAAATGACATAAAAGACTTTATTACTTGTGATGGTATGTAAACTAGCGTAAAGAGTTTCATATGAAACCATAAGAAAATAATATGATTGTCAGATTATAAATTTTGTTCATTCTCCAGCTGAAACCTTAACTACTTCATAAAACTTAGAGACTCTAATAAACAATTAGAGATAAAAACTTACTTACTTTGATATCATGCTTGCATAAACATTTTTTCTGTTTTTGTTTATTGTACAAAAACATAATCTGTCTTTCTGAAATATCGAAGTGTATAATCTATTTGCAAGTACCTCTAGTGAGAAAGAAATCAATATCTTATTATTCCATGTAATTTGATGTTTCTAGCCACTTGATTGAGTTGTATGTAGAGTAGTAAATTGTATTATCCTAAAACTTCTTTTAATGATTGAGTAGAATTTTTATAAAATTCTATAAACATTCTTTGATTTCAATGTATATTTCAAGTAAAATGTCTATATAATTTCCTATTTATCTACAGAATACTTTTTATTACTCTAATATTCAAAACGCATATTGTATTTCATAACTTGTACATAATTGATGTGCTAGTAAGAGTTTTGTACAGCGTCCAAAAACTGTCGCGTGGGTGACCGTCCCGCCCCGCCGAGCGATCGCTCACAGCTCATTGAAAGACTTTGTCCGTTTTTTTCACAGATCTACTACATCAATGTTTTTTGAATAAATAGTGCCTCATTTTCAGAACTTGCGTATGAAGGGCAGATTAATATTGATACAACTCTAGAAGTTTATTAATTTAAAAAAATAAAAATTCATAATCATACATGCAGATTGTACCGGTTCCATCTTAATTATTTCTACGTTCCGATTGAGACCACTCAAATTTAAGATGAAGTTGAATTTTAAGTTCGTTCCGGTGTAATTCCCTAAACTTTGAGATAGACCGAACCTGGTATGCGATCAGTTCATAATGGGTATGAAATGTGATATAATCTATAGGTTTAATTAACGAGTATCAATATACACTAAAGAAATTAACGACATATCGTAGAGGATGAGCCTGCTTGTGGACTCATTGACTTTTCCACATTTGTGCTTCTGAACTTCATTTTTTTAAATTTCTCATTTAGATCTTTAGAAAATAATTACTTTTAACAAGTGAAATAGAACCAAAATGAATTAACAAATGTCACAGTTTTCTTGAAAATATTGCTTCATATGTATCATCGATGAACTTGCCCAAATTAATCTTATTACAGAAAGTTAGTTTTTAAAAATACATTAATGGACAAATTTCAGCAAGGGCAAAGCATTCATTTTTTCTAAAAGAACTAAATAAAATATGTGTTCAAAAGACAATATAGCAACAACATAAAACACGATATTTGCTAGTCTTTTCGTTGCACATACTACTACATAAATAAATTGTTGACTGCAACTTTTAATTTCTTTAGTATCATTTCTTGTTATATTTCGGTACCACCATTGTAGTATATCTTACTCTTTGGTCTCCATTCCATAGAGGAATGTGTTGGTTCATAAATTATTCCATTAATAATTTGCACTCATATTCATTTATTCATTGTTCCCGCTGCTTACTATCTCCACTAATATATAAAGAAAATTATTTATTATTTTTATTTTCTAGATTAATTAATTACACCTTAATTTCCTGATAATTAAAAAGAATTAGTAATAGAATTTAAAAAAAAAGCATTTTACTTTATTTTTTGAGAACGAGTAGTAAGTCGATGTCCGATTGTTGATCATCTTTAGTATAATAGAAAAATATAGGAATCAGAGATAGAGGGCTGCAGGGTGCAGGATTTTTATAACCTGTAACCTGCCCTGTAAATTTTTNATTATTTTTATTTTCTAGATTAATTAATTACACCTTAATTTCCTGATAATTAAAAAGAATTAGTAATAGAATTTAAAAAAAAAGCATTTTACTTTATTTTTTGAGAACGAGTAGTAAGTCGATGTCCGATTGTTGATCATCTTTAGTATAATAGAAAAATATAGGAATCAGAGATCAAAATCGAACCGAACCGAACTCGATCCACTTCTTGAAAGACGGAGTCCAACTGGATTGAACTTAACCAAATTGCGAAAAGCGAATGAATATAAAAAACACAAGAAAAAAAAGAGTAAATTAACTATAATCTTTTCTTTATATCAGAGATTAGGGTTGATCAATTTATATTGACAAAAATTTGTTAAATCCAGAAATAAAATGTAAAATATTTGAGTTTATTTTTAATTTAAATTAAAATGATATAAATTTAAAAGAAAAAATAAATAAAATTAAAATAATGTAAATCACTTCTAAATATGTTTAAGGTTAAGTTTCATTTTAATTTAGTTAAGTTAAGTTTAAATTTATATGATTGTCTCTAGGGAAAAAAAAAGAAACTTTTTATTTTCCGATTTACTATGAAAGAGATGGAGATGAATTTTTTAGTATGATTAGAAAATAACGGGAACAGAGTACAACTGATTTTGTAAGGAAACTTCTATAATAATGATCGAATTTTAACGTATAATCACAGTTTCTCTTCTTATTTCTGATCGATTTTCTTTGAAGTCATTTATTTTGACCACTGTGCTGATGAATTTAAATTTACAAAAGCTCACTAAATCCAGATGTTCTAAAAATTTTAAATTGGCGAAAGTTTAAATTGAAAATAGATTTACAGGAAATTTTTGTCTATGAAGGACCGGAAATGAACAGAACCGAACTCGAATCCGTAAAAGTCGATTCGATTCAGTCTCTGAGAGGAGTTTTATCGCACTAGATCAAAAAGAACTTGACTTTTCCAGTTTCAACTTCAACAAATTGTAACTGTTAACTTGATCAAACCATGAACACACGTTCGCTCGAGCGGTGCACATCTCTATCATCCACGCCCGATCTTAATTTATCATCAGTTATTGATCGAAGTGTATCGAATTCAATTACAAATTTCTCATCGTTTCCTGAAACTCAAACACCATCATTATCTATATCAATCACAAATGTTTATCAACCGTCGGATATTGTTGCCCTCCCTGAACCATCATCATCTCATGAATCTGTGAATATTAAATCAATTGAAAATTCAACTGATGACAATATATCAGATGCTTTATCTTCGACCAGTCCAAATATTCTGGCATTATGTTCGTCTATAGCAGCAACTGATAATACTATTTCACATGAAGATGAATTACAAAAACTCCAAAGTGATGAAATTAATTCATGTTTAATAAATGATGTTCATATGGCTAATAGTTGATCTCTTATTGGATCAATGAACCTTAATGTGCAAGTTAATAATATTGATACAAGTCGTGCTCCATATGATACTCATGGTCTTATTTATCGAATGATAGCTGCAAAAGTTTTTATTTTGACGTATCGTGTTAATATTAGTTTTTCTATTAATCGTATTGACAGTCATAGGTATCATATACTCGTGCTCAAAATCTTTAGGTCAACGTTGAAACATTACGAATTGATTATTCTTGATATATATATCTACGTAAAAAAGCGAAAAATAAATCAACCCTAATTCTATTATATGGTATTGTTTTAATCCTCCTACATCATATTGTTTTCTTCCTTTTCATGTATGAAGTTGTTACCTTTTTTTTTTTTGTTTTTTGTCTCTTGTCGTATTTTCGTGAACAGATAACACCGTTCACTAGCAAAGGGTGGAAGTGTTAGGTGGTGGCGCTATCTGCGACCACTACCTCTCTTCTTCTTCTTTTCTTTTATCTCTTCATTGGTCACTAGACAGACCTACCTATGTTTTTTGTTTTAATTGTTATTTATTGATTGTGTTGATATATTAAGTCGTCGTGAACAAGATAAAGAAAAAGACAAGAATTTTAGTTAGCCACAACAGACTAACACTAGTAAGTCTTTTTGTAAACTTTAATTGAAGAGTCGATGAGATACACCTTGATTCGTATCACTCGATTTCTTCTTTTTTTTGAGAAACAAAAAGAAAATCACAAAAAAATTGAAAAACCGTAAGTTCATACAAGAAATCTCTGATTGAGTTACGTTTAGATGAAAGATACATTTGTCTACATGTAGTAAAACATTCAGTACTCATAAAATCACACAGACTTTCGTCGGATGTTGAGCATTTATATCTGCTAATTGACGTTGATAAGTGCTGTTTGTGGTTCGTTTTGATTTTATACCTGTTCCTCCATATGAAACACTACTGGGTTTTCCAAATGAATCTCTTCGTCCACCGGGTTCGCCAGTAACCGACATTGAACGACCCCATGATGTTGATAAATCTTCATTGATTGTTTTACCATAAAAATCATCACGTTCAATTGGATTTGATTGTTTTTGTAAACGATGTAAAATGATACGATATGTACCATTAATACTATCACGATTGGAATGAAATTTATTACTAGAATTTTTAGTTGTTGTTTGTAATAATTCACTTGTTATACCTAAATCTTCTAATTTTGAATGAGCTTCATATTCAAATGACGATGTTGGTGGTATTGAATCAGATATACTATTTGTACTTTCATTTTTACTTAAATCTTTATTTACAGATGTCCAAAAGTTCGTTAAATTTAATGGGAGTGGTTCAAGTTCATCAGGAAAATTTTGATTACTAAGCCATGAACATGAACGTATCTGTTCTATCGACCAGCGTTGGACAGCTTCAGGATGAAGAAGACCGCCTAGAAATATTCAAAATCTAACGTATAATTATTTTTATAATTAAATTTGTCTCGACCGTGCTTTGACATATTTCATATTCTGTGGGAAACCTGGATTCTAGTATAAATAGATAATATATGTCTAGGATACGATTTAATTTTACTGAAGAGAAAAAAAGAAAATAATTTGTGTTACATTTCTTTTTTATCTAAAAAGATATTAATAATTTTTTTTCTCGTAATGTTTTAAGGAAGATGGTAAAATTTCACATTGATAAAAAACAACGAAGTAATTTAATATTGACAAGAAGAATAGTAAAACATCAAGAAAAACTTTATATTATATCTTTGATATGTTAAAATTGGAATATTAGTATTCTGCTTCTTTTTATTTTTGAACAACTTCAAAGTAGAATGAAGTACTTACTTATTATAAATATCTTTCTTTTAGCATGTAATCAAAAGTAAAAATAAAGAGAAAAAAATGAATTATATCATGTAAGAGTACATGTAAAAGCATTCCGCCACAATTAAAACAAAACACATTTCTTCGCAGTTACTTTTTTAAAGAACGGAAGAACATTAAAGCTCCTGGTTTTTTTTGTTAATTGATTCACTTATTCACCTAGACGAATAATATTATATTATGCATGAGAGTTCTAAATTATGCATTTATTTGTTCTTTTTTAAGTTAAAAGAAGCACGACATAATTTTAAAGTAGAACTTGATGAATATATTCAAATATGGTTTTTAATGCACTGACACATAATCTATTCAGTCAAAGTCTATAATAAGCTTGATATTTGATTTTTAACGAAATGAATTATTGATTTAGCTAACTTGAGTTGAAGAAAAATATTGTTATCTGTCTTCATCTTTACTTCAACAGATTCGTTTTCAAAAAAAAAAATAGATTTACTAAATTTTTCTTATCAAAATAAATAAAAAAATATGAATATAGTCATGACAAATATGAATAATATATATTAAAATATTATAAACTTTATTATTTTTGTGAAATGTATAATTACATTGCATATTAATAGCATGAAGAAAAGTCAAGGGACATTTTTTGCTTAAAGGCTTGTAATTTTTAATATGAATTATAAAAGCTATTTATTAATGCCTTAAATCCTACACGGAAGAACAAGATGAAAAAGCAATATCTAAATTTAATATATAAAATTCGCATTCATGTTGACAATAATCCTTTGGCATTTCCACAGAGAATAATAAACCAGTATCATGTTCATCACACTCTTTTTGCTGAAGAAAATATTATATATATATATATATTTGCAATGGAGAATAACGACTTATTTTAAAAAATTGTTTCCGTTTTATTACATGATATTTTTTTAATTGCCAACCGTTTCATAAATTTTAGAAATCTTCGTTACATTCATCACAAAAATAAATAATTTTAAATAAAACTATGTTTTGAATTATGTAATCAAAAGAGAATGCTATTTTTATTTTATATTAATAATTATTTGCTTACTTCTAAAAATAATAAAGAAAACTATTTCGAAATACTTACGTATAAGTTGTTGACATTCATCTGATACATGTGCTGGTATTGAATAATGTCCTTCGAGAATAGCTTTTTTTAGTTTACCAACATTTTCTGCTCGAAATGGCATTAAACCAGTAACCATGAAATAGAGTAAAATTCCCATAGCCCATAAATCCACATAAATTCCAATATAGTTTTCATCACGAAATAATTCTGGAGCTGCATAAGGTGGACTACCACAAAATGTCGTTAATGTTTGATTTTTTTCTGAAAACGTACTAAAACCAAAATCACCCAATTTTATTAAACGTTCTTTAGCAAAAAATACATTTTCACTTTTAATATCACGATGAATAATACCCTTTTTATGCTGAAACAACAAAACAAAAAAATAACTCATTAAAAAATGTTTTTTTCTCTGATTAAGTAGTTTTTTACCACATGATCAACAGCTGCAGTTATTTGAGCAAATATAGGTTTGGCTTCATCTTCAATAAATTTTCCTTCTTTTGATATACGTGTGTAAAGTTCTCCACCGGGCGCATATTCATTAACAATATAAATTTCATTCGGTGTTTCAATAACTTCATATAAACGTATTATATTTGGATGATGCAAACGTTCCATTGAAGTTATTTCACGAAGAAGTAAGCGCTGAGTACGTTCATCAAGTTTAGTTTTGTCAAGAATTTTTATTGCTACTTTTTCTGTATAATGAAAACAAAGAAAAAAAAGAAAGCCTATTTTTATCTATGCATTATCAATATTAATAAAGCATTTATTGAATAAGATTTCTTCCATGATAGAACTTTTCAAAATTTTTTCATCTCTTTTATTAATTCAAGAAATATATTTTTATTAGAAGAATCTCAATATGAGTATGGTGATTTTCCTATATGAGATTCAGTGCTAAAATAATGAACAAGAGAATTGCTATATACGTGATATAACTATAAATTTGAATGCAATGCCTTCTTCAATACATCTTAATATAATTGAAACTTGTTCAATAAAGTGCACTTTATATTTCTTGTCATACATAACAGGTATGTATTTGTCTTTGACTTATTTTGAATGAATCGAAGTCAATAGACTGAAAATTGAATCATAGTTAATGGTGGTCCTGTCTGCTAGAGAATTAAATCAATTTGAAATATATATATTATTCAAAATTCAAAAATTTCTTCAAATATTAACAAGAATATTTAAACCGAATCATGCATAATGAATTAGAAAAAAAGAGAAAAACTTTGAAACGAATAATAGATTTTGATAAATCAGATTTATAACTAAAGTCTTATTATCGGTACTATTTTTTTTTCAGTAAAAAAAAGAAACAGAATCAAGATCAGCTATTTCTTATATTTTACATTAATTATTTATTCATTCTTTACCTTTAGCAAGTAGATGTACACCAAGTTTGACACGAGAAAAATTTCCTAAACCAATATCACCTCGAATACGATAGAATCCAATACGTCGACCAGCTTTTTCTTCTGCTTTAAAACGCATATCATATTGTGAATCATATAAAAGTTTTTCATAAGCTGTTAAACGTTTTTTTTCATCTTTAGCAAATGATACATTAAGAGCTGCAGCTGATGGCATACTGCTTGACGATGAAAATTCATCATTAATAATAGCATCATTTCTATTTGTTTTACTTTTATTACTATTTTGTGTTGGTGCAGATATAGAATTAATATGATGACGAGTTTGATTCAATGATGTACGACGTGGTGTATTATTTGTTTCAACTGTTGAAATCGATGTTGAGGGTGCTGATGTTAGATTTTCTGTGGTACTCATTATTACTGAATGATTAAATGAAATTCCTTTATCCTTACATCTAAAGAGAAATAATTATAGGAGAGAAAGGTTAGTAATTATGTCATGACAAATGGATCAAGCGATGACATACATGATAAAAAAGGAACAGAAAAAGAAAAGAAAGCCAATTGTCATAGCTAGACGTGCCGTTACTTAGAAAAAAATATTAGTAAATGAGCAAGCGTCATCACCTGCCTTTGGTAGAAATGAAAATGCTGAAAAAAATAGTTGTGATAAGGAATGAGGAAACTAATTTGATGTCAACTAAATAAAATGAGAGATTTTACCAAACTGTCAATCTCAAAATAGCAGACAGATAGGAAACGATAAGTAGAAAAAAAAAGAAGCTCACAAAGAAATGTTACTTTTCAATACTAAAAGATTTTTAAGATAAAAAAAATGATAAAATTCATTATTTTTCTTTTTCTCCCTTTTCAGTTTTTTTTTTTCTGATCCTTTTTCTTTTCTTATAATCATTGTCTTGTTTGGATTCTATTCGAGACATCTGCTTGCTTTAAAAACTGTCGGATTAAGAGTTCTATCAGTGCACTAATTTCAAGAATGGAAAAAAAAAATACTTGACGAGAACTGACAAGAAAAAAAAAAAATATATATATACATACATTCTATGGTTTTATGTACTCAATAGAGTAGCTAATAAAATGTTTTTTACAATAAAAATAGAAACAGAACGAATATACTTCAACGTGCTTCATTTAATAAAATAATGTAAACATATATTGACAACAAACATGATACATGAGAAAAAAAAGTTTTGTTAATAAGTATGCTTGAAAAAATAGAGGTAATTTGATAGATAGTAGACTCTCATGCTATTTTAACTGGAAGCGATATGTTGAGACGAAGAAAAAAAATTATCTCTTTTTCTTGACTTTTTTTCTCTAGATTCACATTTGTTCTAAACAACATATTAGTGCCTAGGCAGACATATAAGCATCAACATTGACGAGAAAACAGAAAAGTGACAACAGCGGAAGTTCCTACTTTTTTTTCTCTTCCTGTTTCGTTCTCTTATTCCTGTTACTACCATGTAACGATTTTTTTCACAATTATTACTTAGCAACGAGTTTTTGACAAATGCATTGATGCATTAAAATAAATTGTATTGTTTTTTTTAAACTATTAATTAACATTTGAACAATAAGAAAAATTTTATTTTAGAATAATTTTTAAATCTTTAATTATGAAAAAGAAAAAAATTTAGTAAATATTGAATTGAGAAAATCAACGACGAATGATCAATCATAGAACGATTGAATAGTTGTTTATTATTTACTTCTGTTGTCTTTTTTTCCACTAAACCTTAGTTTAGTTGTTTAAATGTGTAGAAACTGCATGATTTTTTCTGTTTTTTTTTTTGTATTTAAAGATCAGTATATAAAACAATGAAACGTAATCGATTTGTCTCATCATCACGTCGAAAAGCCCGTAAACGTTATTTTACTGCACCATCACATATTCGTCGTCGTTTAATGAGTGCACCATTAAATAAAGAATTACGACGACGATATAATGTTCGCAGTTTACCTCTTCGTAAGGATGATGAAGTGGCGGTTCGTATCTTTTTTGTTTTAAGAGAAATTATTAGAAAACTAAAGATTTATTTGTAAATAGATTACACGTGGTCATTTCAAAGGTCAACCATCAGGAAAAGTAACACAGGTATATCGAAAAAAATTTGTCGTTCATATTGAACGAATTACACGTGAAAAAGCTAATGGTAATACTGTTCATATTGGTATTCATCCATCAAAGGTAAACAATAAAATAATACAAAAACAAAACAAAAATTAAAATTAAATTAAAATGTTTTTTCTTCTTATAATTCAGGTTCAAATAACTAAATTGAAATTAGATCGAGATCGTAAACGTATTTTGGATCGTCGTTCAAAATCAAAATTGGCTGCCAAAGGCAAACATACTGAAGAAAGTATTCAACAAACATCAACAACAGCACCAATGGAAACATCATCCTAAACAAAGAAAAGAAAAAGAGAGTTCTATTCAAGTTGTTTGTTTTTTCTTTTGTTTTGTATTTGTGTGTGCGATTGGAGAAACAAATTACAAACAGCACACCAAAATAAAAAGAAGAAGAGATCATTATTAATAACAAAATATTTCTTTTTTTTGCCTTGCAACATTAAAGTTTATTAAAGCCGTTTTCTTGATTCGTCAGTGACGTATATTTTCTAGTACCGAAAATAATGTTTTGTCGAGAGTGGGGGCCGAACAAACAGCCCCTCTCCGAAGATCAAGTTGGCCCTGTCCAATTTTGTGACTGTTAGGTTACCTACTGAATTTTGTCCTTACAAAAATCAGTGTTCGTTCTTCCGGAGTTTTCCATTGTTCCTTCAGAAGATAAAAGCCCGATGAAACACTAACAACAATAATAATGGCAAATTAAAAAAAAGATAGTTTCAACTTTAAATAGAGTTCATTTTTCGAAATGAGTTGCCATAGAATATAAGACAATTTTATCGGTATTGATCGAGAGAGAATAAATTTAATAAAAGAAATATTCAAGAATTTGTTTCTTTAAAACTGTTAGTTATCAGAAAATATGATGACTTTGGTTATTTGTTACCATAGAAATATTAATGATCTGAGTTGCTCATCCTTCGTAAGTTTGATTGGATAAATTCGGCCTAGTGAAAAGAACTATTAAAATATCTGCCTTTTCATCCTGTAATTCTCATCAAAAATTTTCAAAAAAAAAAACACAACTCTCGCGTTTTAGTCTTCATAGAAATCATAGATTAGAATGTATATCCTATAAGATGAAGCATACATATTGTTTGACGTTTCATTGCTTTTTCATTCCATCATTTGTTTTCATTAATATTGATTAATTTTATTTAACTTTTAAATATATTTTTTCTCGATATAATATTTCATGTTCATTATAAACTGTTGTCGTTGACTTTTTTTTATAAATCCAATGTTCAGTAGAAAAAACCGAAACAGTTTCTCTTCGACATTCATGATCAGTATGTGTTTACTAAACTAAGAGAAAAGAGACAGAAACTATAAAATTATTCTTGTGATTGTAATGTCTCTAAGCGATCTAAACAAGAAAATACTTATTCCATCTTTCTGAATAAAATCACATGAAGTAGTACATACTACATCTCGTTTGCAATATGGCATGTTCATTGCTGTTGAGTTTTTGTAAATAGTGATGATTGGAATAGTCATTTTCATCTTCGAAGTATGCTGACATACAAAAGAAAGACTACTTTATTGTTATTTTTTGATGAGAATAATTTTAATATTGCAGACTATAGAAATAATAAGGAATATTTAATGACAAAATTGGACGAATGATATTCACGAATGAGCTAATAAAAAAATCGATCAAAGTTTCGATAGTACAAATTTGATTAATCATGACATGACGATATGGGATTCATGTGGGCTTCACTCTAATAAATCAGAATAGTTCATGAAATGACGATCTTTCTATTATCTAACTGTAAAGTTTCTCAAAGAGTCTTAAAAACAAAACTAATCAACATAACAGTCGATTAATTTGAGTTTTATTTCCTAATGATGGTTCGTTTTCAAAGTATTCCATAAAAGAGAAAAATAGATGATGTGTTGTACTTCAAGTTACTTAAACATGCTTCAGTTATAGATCTACTTTGAAATTACTTTCAGCTGCATGTTGACTATTTTAATATTATTCATATTTTCTATTAGCTGTTCATTGTTTGAAGGTTGATCACTTGCATTACCATGGAGCGAATTTCAATATGCTTCATCATACTTCATAGTCTTCAGCTTTGACTCTAATAAATTAGAAGTGAATAAGATCAAACTCGCTCATATTTAATAATGAATATTAGCGTCGTTAAACTAATTTAGAAATAATTGAAGGTAATGTCAACGTGCAATGGAAACAAATTTTTTTGCTTTGTCTCTTAGAATCCAATCATATGTCATATATTTGGACTTTATATTTATTTCGACCTGTTTTAACAAATTTACAACGATTGAATGAAAGTGACTGCGACTACCAAAGTATTACACTCAATATCTCTGAGACATATCTGAAATAATAAAGTTTCATTCAATACTCTAGATGTATAGCATTAAAATGAGTCTTGCTAGAGTTCAGATGGTCGAATGAGAGTCAATATAGAGAAAGCAGTTTTCAAGACTTGAAAGCTTTTCTGAATATTCTGGAGTTTCTGACATAAAATCAATAACCAAACTACATCACTAAGATATTGAATGTACAAATTTTTTGCAGTAGAATGATATTCAGGAACCATATTTATTTCCAATTTTATTGCAAAACCGAAACTCTGAAATAAACAGTCAACAATCCCGCACAATGAAGAGCTTTAGCAGAAGCAGGTGAACATAACAACAAAAGCTAGTTTTTCTGCGACTAAAGTATATCTCTATTCACTATTTTATGGTCTCTTTGCGTGTAGGTGTGAGTCCGGAAGGTGAGACGATCCACACTTACACCCAAAGCCATACGCCTACAATCATAACCTCAGACAATGTCGCCCAAACTTTCGCTCAGAACTACTATGGTGACAATGGCTCTTTATATATATGATTCGGTACAGTTCGATGAGCTGGTTCCGTATATTATCTTTTTTTCTTGAAAATACAATATCAAATGCACAAGATCGTATTTTCTGTGAAAGATCGTAGGATTTTGAGAAACTCATATAGAAGCCTAGAAAATATTTCACAGGTTGGCGCTACTACGGTCATTATCATACATATGTAGAAGTGTCTGATAAAAATTTGGGCTCGATCAAACATAATCTCTTTGTAGGATTTACAAAGCCTGAAGTGATCGGCTTTTGGACCAAGTTGTGCATTAAATATGAACGGAAAATTTCTTGAAACATTTATATATTTATATGGTTTAATGCAGATCGCCGAATTGATTCCAAATATAATCTTAGTTTTTCTTCAAAGTGCAATGCGAGTCCTTA